TAGAATGCTTGTATTATTTATTGAGGTTTAGTTTGAGAATTTCTTAAATAAATGAGATTTGACTTATTTGTGCTGTTTTTGTGTTTTTATCCTCTGCAAATGAACATATTTTTCACCAAGTGTTCAGGATAGGCCCCACTCGTACTGTCAGCGTTATTCAAAATGTGTCCATGTCATTACGTCCCTGATCCCTGTTTGGCAAAAATTAAGTTTATCACCATTTGTTTAAACAGTCCTGATGAATAAGCTCTAAATCCATCCTGGAAATGTGTTTTCCTCAAACATATCTCAACCTCAATCCCTTTCTCCTGCTCATCCTTTACATTAAAGCACTGTTTCCTACCCCCCTTTTTATTTAGGCTTGTATTGACCTGTTAATAGTATTATCCACAGAGCGTGTGGCAGGGCCAGGGTCACATCCCTCTAGGGTTTGGATGGTCATCTACCCGGCCGCAGTTTGGCCAGCGAGCGACCAATAGGACCTGAGCTGTGGTCATCCTTCAATCTAGCCCCTTTCACAGCAGAGGTCAGGCGAGTCAAAGGGTAATAAGTTTAACCCCTCGAGGAGCAAGAAGTCAGAGGTCACCAACCAGGCTATAGGGAGAAGGTTTGCATCATCAATCAGTGGCACTCCTGGTTATATCTGCGCATATCGATGACACAAATTCGTTTCTGCCAATCTCATTTGCATGGCTTGCCAAGCACAAAGGGCAGCAATTATAGTCATACAAATGTGAATGAAGGCAGCATCGTGATTGTGGCTGCTAGTGTCAGTTTGTTTAGCTCGAACAAGATTTTCAGACCTCTAATCCCCTCCGTTTATATAGGCCCTCTAAATAAGATCCAGGTTAATGTCGTCCACTTGAACAAATGGGAACACTGCAGTCCATTTTCCTCAAAATTAAGAAAATATCTTCTCTTCACAGGAATCATGTGTTCTGATATATTTTTATATCTATTTGTGTCTTTAATTAAGACAACAGATTACATTTGCAATTTTCAACATTAATGTACCAATTTATTCAACACATCGGCTGTGAATCATGATTATTGCTCTTCAATAAAACCCTGCATTGAACAGAAACCACTGAAAACAAGAGCCTCATCCACATTTTGGTCTATTTTCCTGTCAGGAACAACATTAACAACCGTTTTACGATGACTTAATGTGAATGATTAATTAGAAAGGGTGTGGCCTCTTTTTTCCCCCTCATGCATTTCTACAATTTGCTCCTGCACGTTACCACAGCTTTACAGGTATCCTCTCAGATAATTATACAGTCTTCAAAGTGGATTTTATTAAAACAGTGTTCCCCGATGTTAGGAGGGCATTCTCCTAAATTCTGCTGCAGATGAGCGAGTGTAGCCCTCCTTGTAAATCTGAAATGGTGCTGTGCTGATGTTTCCTCTTCCTGGCTGATGTTAGCGATGTGTCAGCATTAAGCTAGGCCTGCCTGCTCGGCTGCTGGGGCCGTGGTGGCGACCAGCCCAGCCTGGCCAAAAGCCAGACCAGACATGTCTTGGCATCAGACGACAGAGACGCGACGGGATCAAGGATTGGGGGACATAAGTTCATGCAGTATTCAGCATTGATTATCCGTGTTCTCCACAAAGTATAACAATCTGTATGTCCTGCACGTTTTTTTTTTAAAGATTTCTTAGCGATTAAAGATTTTATTCTCTTTTTTTCTGTTTTGATTTAACAGTGTATCGATGATGGAAGCAAGAATGTACGAGATCAGGGGAGGGAAGAGGACATGCGACAAAGATCCCAGGTTGGTCTACACAACAACGTGTCACAGTTAACGTGGTTGTGGTCCTTCGCCAAATGAGCGATCAAGATGGGCCTGATGTGCCTGACTTTAACAGAGGCACCTCTTCATCATTACATATTGTGACGCATACATTGAGTTCTCTGTAGGATACGTGCATGCCTTTAGGTTTGTGAATAAGAGAGATGTACATGTTGCTCAGTCAGCTATTGCACAGACAGAGACCATCAATCACAAATGCACGGTGAGCCGCATTGCTCTTTCGCTGGTCCCTCAAGTCCTTTTCCTGGGCTGGAATTACACAGCACTTTACCTGCGGCACTGCATTTTTTTTTTTAGACTTCGTCTTAACCCTGCACCATAACTCAGGCAACACATTTGTGTGGGGCCATGGCTTTTAAAACTATGACGAGGTTAAAATTCATGTACCTGAGCCTGATAAAAATAAAAACAATGTCCCTTTTTATATTGGGTTTCTATCCTCAAGTAGCAATATCTGCACATCTCTGGTGTTTGTGGTGTTAAAATAAGACACATTAACAAAGGAACAAAACAATGAACAGGCTGTTTCTTGCATTAACATCCCAGCTCAGTCCATACACTTCGCACAACATGTGATTGAAGGTCCCGCCGTTAACCACAGAGATGTTTCTCCGTCTCTGCTTGGCGTCTGGTTTTCCTGCATGCACCTGATTTCCCTGCATGCACCTGATGTCGGCTGTTTAAGAGCTCTGCGTGATCCTGACCCCTGCAAGAACTCCCCATTTATTTTGTCATTATGTTTGATCATCAGTGAGTTTATTCTTCTTGTGGCTTGGGTTTTCATCTTTTACCACTGAACAACAATTTTTCTGCTGTGTCTAATTTAAAAAAATCCTAATTTGCTGTTTTGAATTATTTTAAAGTATGTAGGGATGTGATCAAATTATCTATAGCTGTATGGCATGGGCAGCAGCCAGGTGTTTTTGATAGATGAGTGTAAAGACCTTGGGTTTTGGATAAGAAATGAGGCAGCGTACGCCGAGGGCTCTTTGCATTTTGCAACACCGATGAGAGTGTGTGTGTGATAAGCAGCAGGTGGACTGGTTACTGTTGTGATAAGAGCAAATGATCGATCATGTGGTCAAGGTCTTGTCTTTCAGACATAGTTTGATCAGCTGAAAGGTTCACTTCACATTTATCTCCTGAACTGCGACAGTCGCTAACCACTTCATGACTCTGTCGTCCTATAACTGTTCACATAGGGTTCAATATATTAAGCACATAAAAAATCTTGGTTCTCTTTTCTCTTTTCAAAATGTGTCCGTAGAAACAGACGTTTATTAAGGGAATGTTGTGTTTAACTTTACCTAAAGTAGTTTTTTTAGAAATAAACCAGCCCTCTGACAGCGTATTAT